AGTAATTGATTAAAGTATTTTTTTCAGTGTAGTTTAACGTTACTTAAAATCATACCACTTGAGTGTAATTTTTTCGAGCGATTTCGGCAATTTCAAACACGAAATAAGTCGTCCTATAAGTGAAAGCTGGAAAATACCAAAATACTAATAGAAGAAATATCAATCGAACGTTTCTGAGCACACAATGAATAATTATATCAACGTCAATTACATGCATCAATGGCGAAAAAATTTCAATGAGCCATTTTCAACTCGAATTTTAAGAATTTTTTTTACAGAATTACTCATATGTACGTATATCCGCGCGCGAGAAGTAAATTTAATTCTAACGTGCTACAACGATATTCAACGGCTCCGAGATATTCATCGAGATTAGAGACTCGCGCGCAGTTTTGTCGACATGTAGGCTGAACGAATTGCCGAACAGCTGCGGCACACATATACACAGCACTAACTTTCGATCTAAATACCAACTCTAGCTGTGCTTGTCTATATAGGTAGGATATTGTACATATAATATGTACATATATAATTGCCACTGCATCCGCGCGAATTCAAGGTGAAAAGCTCGCTTTCCGGACAACGTTTGGGGGTTGGGTTACCCCCGTCTGTGTTCGTCTCACTACTACCAACAGTAGCCGTCATCAACGTCGACGGCGGCGCCGGCATATTACGAATTACGCAATATGCTTTTTGGAGATCGACGTGTAGCTATTATTACACACATATATATACATTACATGCATATAGTATGCGTTCATTCAGGCACGTGCATACACACGATATATAGATATATATGAAAATATCGCGGCAGCAGTTACTTTCGGGCGCGCGATGAATTTAAATCGGATCTTGTCACGCGAGAGTTGCACCCCCGCCTTCCCCCGCACACGTCCTGCACACATACACACGCACACACAAATACGGACCGATGTTCGCGAGCTGTACGCGATTCGTGCTCGTAATAATAAAAGGAAGTCGGCGTTGGGCGCCTTACGTATTCGTATACGTGTACGTACGAATTTGATCGTGACGCGGTTACATATACGTTACGATATTAGATGATATTGCTGCGAATCTTGCGCAAACGTTTATTTGAGCCCATAAGTCCGATTTTGAGCATTAGAAATTATGACATTTTTCGTAATTGTTTGAAGGAGAACTTCTGGTATGGCCCTCTTCTAACGTCACCCGCTGTCCTCTCGCTCGCTTTGTGGTCAATTTCCGAAGAGGTCGTGGTTCAACCTCGATGTGGAAAAAATTATAAATCTACAATTTGTCATTATGTCAGGGTTGTATATTGAAGTGGACCATTAATAAAATAGTTATTTTTTCGATCGCAAAGAGTGTTTGTAAAACACTTTTTTTCATATTTTCAAAATATGTTAGTTCCAAGTTACTGCTTGTTGGGCGTCTCAATTTAAAAGAAATTTTTTCGCAGGAGTGGGATAATGTATGAAACGGTGTACAATGGTGTCACTCATGCATGTGATATGTGCAAAAAGACTTTCACACGAAAGAATAATGTATTTCAAAAATATGTTGCCACTTGGGAGTTTTGCAAAAAATCATCGTTCGCCATCTATGGGTGGATCATCAATCTAAATAACGTCGCGAATTTTACTATTCAACAATTTTACTATTAGTAATTTTTCGTAGAAGTCAGTTTTTTGCATGTCCCATAGTATTGTTGAATAATTGTAATTTTTCTTAAAAATATGAAGAAAAATTTCATAACGTACTATTTCTAACAATATTTGCTGCAAAAATTAATGATTTTTATTTTATTGGAGAAAAATTTGTTTAAAATATATTTTTAAGCTAAAAACTAAATCATTTTCAAATTACTTCGAAAAACTATCCCACATTTATTTGAAAAATTAATTCTTTCAAAGTCGTGAACCATAAACACTACCTCCAACGTTATTACAAAAACAAACACCCTTTTGCGTTATTTCGTTGGTGAGGTTTTAAATTAAAATACAATATTGCTTTAAAGCTTGCGTGAAAATGCGTATCGAATCTGCAGCATGATAATGGAAGTTACATCGACAAAAAAATTTAATTTTAAATGAAAAAAAAAACAAACAACGCAAACGTATTATTTGAAATATTCACGCAAATAAATTTTTGATTTTATCGAATCGAAACGTCGTATTCGCAGTAATCCGTTTAAAAAATTAACGAAATTAATTTGGCTGAGTTTCAAGACGTTCGAGCACGGCGAAACGAATCTTAACATGACTTGGCAGGTAGTTCATGTACGTACCTAGAGCTCAACAGTTTCAAGTTTACTAATTCAATACGTGTCAATGAAAATAACCAAATTTCATGATATTTAACGTCGCTAAATACTTGATATCATTCTCGTCAGTTTTAATAAAATACATGCAGTTTGCCAACATTTTCAAGCATTCGTACTTATCGTAAAAAAACGTTTTTATCGTCGAAAATAAGAGTGGAAATTTGTATTATAACTCATGGTAAAAATGCACACGGCTGGCAAAGCGTCGAACGTATTGAAAAATGCATATCGCGCGGTACTGCCATTAAAAATGAAGCGCTACCGCCACGCCGCGGCATACCGTAAATGCCGGACCCCTGAAAATTATACCCCCGGCCGTATTTTCTCGTGCTTTCAATTTAGGACATTTGGCAAGTGTGATAATTCAAGCGCTCGTTAGGACGAAAAAAAACAACAACAACGACAACGACAACAAGCAAAAGAAAAAAAAACTGTCAACTGAAAAAGAGTATATGGCGTTGGCGGCGGCGCGCTATAAATATCCGCCAACGGTCTGGAAAATAAACCAGATATGAAAGAGAGAAGGAGAGAATGAAGAGAGAGAGAGAGAGAGTAAGGGGGTTGGGCGCTATAGAGTACATTTAAGCAAAGGTAAATGTGAGCTGTGTCCGGCGTGCATATACATACTTTCTCCCATTTCCACTTTACCGTTTCGCTACATAGCTATATATACTACATACGTACGGTTATATCGCATAGAGCATGAGCCAGGCGCTGCTGTGTATACATGTGTGCCGCTCGCGCGTCGTTATTTTTATCTTGCTTATACTCCGATGTCACGTACAAAAGCTCGTGCGGTGCTGCCGTTGGTGCGGCGCGCAAGCTTGCCGCGCTTCGTCGTCGACTATATACATTGCATTATAACACATCGCGTATCGTCTCTGTACAGTAGGAGTCGTCGGACATGCAGACGACGGCGGTGGTGAATCGCACGGAGCCCGATCGACGCGGGCGCGAAGCACATCGATCGACCGTATATAACATATCGAATACGGCCAGGCGCGCGTGTGGGCATGTAGTCGCGTACGATACGTATACATGATCCTTCCGCGTGTTACAAACACAATTGCTCTATCAGCAGCAGCAGCAGCAGCAGCGGTAGTTCTTTACCGCAAGATTCCATTATTGCGGGCGAGGACGCGCGCGTGGAGAAAAGAAATTCCACGCAAGCACACGTGTGTGTGTGTGTGTGCAGAGGAATGCGCGCAAGCTTTACACTTTATATTATCGCGTTATGTATATGCGCGTACATTGCGATATCGAGGGAGAAATCCTCCGCGTGCACACAGCCGCTCTCTGTACCTAAGGACGAATCTGACGATCGTCGAGTGGCCGCGGGTCAAGGATAGCGCGGGGGAGGGTGGCGGCTGTGTGCCGCGTGGCGCGCGATAATATGTCACGGGGTTGCTGCTGCTGCTGCTGTCAGGCTTTCCTCGCATGTTTGTCTGATCGATTTCCCTCTCTTACTCGCTCGCTCGCTCGCTACTGGTCATTGTCGTCGTCGTCGTCGTCGTCGTCGTCGTCGTCGTCATTGAGAAAGAAACGAGAGTTGAAGGTATATATAGGAGCTGACGAGGAGCGGGAGCTTTAAAGCACATCGCGCAGCTGATTGTATTACGCAGCGGCTCGACGTCGAGCTACGAATAGGTATATAATCATACGCTGCAGCAGCGGTACATATGATACATGTATAATAATGTATATATATAGGCGGAATAAGGCGCCACACGGATATGCCCGATAAATGCGAGCCAATACGTACGTGTATACACGCAGCTCAGAGGCTTTCCGTAATAACGCACGGCTTATGAATAATGCGGGCCTACCTCGTTGCTTGCATACGTATATACACGAGACTGCACTGCAGTACTGCCGATGCTGCTGCTATACTGTTCGGGAGAGAACAAGAGAGACTACGACAACAACGACGACGACGACGACGACGACGACTAGCCTAGATGAAATTAGCAGCCGTCTGATTTATTGTTTCTGGCAGGCAATTGTTGTCGCGCGCCTCGCGCTCGGGGCCGTCGTCGGTGCTGATTGATCGCCTCGCGCTATAAGTTGTGTGCGTTAATATCGAGACAGAGAGAGAGAAAATTATACTGCGTTCTCTACTTATGTAGGATACATTTCATATGCTACCGACCACTGGTCGGCGCTATGCATGTAATTCGGGTCCATGGATATTCTCCGCGTTATCGTACTGCGCGAGCAATAACGCGACCAAGCCGAATTTAAACATGCGTTTAGCTATTATAGAGTATACGCTCTCATTATACGTACTCGTGCGGAATCTCATTTTAAACTGCGTATACAGCGTGGCTTTCGATGGATATATTCGAGTTCGCCTCATTTCCGATTATTATACGTACACGCACGCGTACATCAATAATCAAGTTTCGTTGCTTCTGTGACGTCGATTTTCAAGTACGCGCGTATAACGGATCGATCACGTAGCGCGCGAGATGTGTACTGCGTTGGTCGTGCATGTTACGCAACAAATGCATCTCCGTAAACGATTTTTTTTCTCTCTCTCTCTCTCTCTCTAACATCGAAAGCGAGCGTCTCTGTCAACCGCACGAATCCATCCGACGAGGCTGACGCGCGATTCAACGAAGCGTCGAGCGCGTAAAACGTAAATGCGTGTCTATTATGTACGATGTGTATTTATGCCATGTTGCGCGCGTTCCAGATGCTGAAGTCATGCCGGACGCTGAGCATGACGGTGCGCGGCCCGGCCATCGATCCGCGCTGCCGCGGCGGCCATCCGGTCTGGCCGCAGAATCGCCAGCAGACCTGCAGCTGGATGGACAGGCAGGGCAGGCCGGCCTCGCCGCCGCCCGTGAATCTGCACGAGGCGCGCTACCGGCATCGGCAGCGCAAGCTCGACCTCGTCATCGAGCCCGGCCAGTCGCTGGGCCTGATGATACGCGGCGGCCTCGAGTACGGCCTCGGCATCTACGTGACGGGCGTCGACAAGGACAGCGTGGCCGACCGAGCTGGACTCTTGGTAAGTACCGAAGCAGCAGCAGGGGGAAAGACGCCGCACGCGCGCGATTTGTGCTTGTGTTGCAGCAGAGCGCATACATATATATGTAACATTGTGTGCGTCGTGGCGCGCGAACCCGAGTCGATCGTCTCTTCCTTGTACAGGCTTGATTAATATCATTTTGAGAAATCGCTATAGAGCGGCTGCAGTTGCGGTAGAAAATTGAGAGTATCCCTGGTAGAAATGCTCAACATTTGATGGCTGTGTTCTTGGATGTAAAAGCGTGATTGGTTATAACTAGACATACACAAAGTACAATCCAAAAGTGTAATGTTTTTCAACATTTAATGACTATTAAGGTTACACGTTTGTTTTGGTGTAATAACCATTCTTTACCCGTCTACAAATTTGTGCAAATTATCAAGAGAATAGATGTTTCACATCAACATTTGAAAAGAAAATGTTTTCACCACAGCTTGCTTTAACTTGCATTAAATTAATCATCTTTACTATGTCACTTGCAGATTTACAAATGAAGGTACTGGCCATCTAGTGGCGGAGACTGAAATTAGTACTATTGTATTGAAGTCGTTGAAAATGAAAATCAGTCTAAATTTTTTGAAACAATCGATGGTAAAACATTTTAAATGGTAATTTTTTGGTCATTAGGCCATTATCAACGTTGAGCATTTCTTGTACCAAGATAAAACAGGACTTTGACTGGCTTGCTTTTGTACAGTGATAAGAGGCTTAAATCATATTCAAAAATCAAAACATGTTAAAAGAAAACTAATCCTCAATAATTCTAATTTGTAAAAAATATTAAAAAAGAAAATATTTAACGTTATTTACTATACTAAAATTACATTAAATAAATTTCATATGAGATACATTTTCTTGCCTCAAAGTTGTAGTAATAATGAATCGATAATTTTTAGAAAAACATAGAGCTCAAAAATTCAAAATTATAGATTTTTAAATTTATCGCTCGTATTTTTACAATATAAAACAATTATAATTTACATAAATTTATCATCTGAAACGGTAAGCAACAAATTAGTTTTGTAAAAATATTTTCTTATCATACTTTTTTAATCGACTTTAACTCTTCACTCAACATTTTCCAACTACATGATCCATAGGACAGCTTAAAATAGTTGACATAGACTGGCTTATAAATAGAAAATGTGCTTTTATCAATTTTTAGCAGGAGCTGAGGCTCCGGTAGTCGTTGTCAAGTAGAATTGTTCTTTTTTCATGAGATAAGCGGCGTCGAAACGAATTAATTTTTTCGACTTTTTTTATTCTTAATGTTAACATTATTCATAAGACATCGATGTTCGTATCTCAGTATACTTTTACTTATATACGACTATTTTTACGTTGGCACTATTAGATTTAAAGATCAAAGTACTGGCCATCTAGTGGTCAAAGCTCAAAGTGATAGTATCATAAGCATATAACAACTGATCAACATTTTTTTGAAATTGTAATTTTTGGGTCATTTAAAATGGGCTCAATATTCGTAAGATAATTGTAAAAGAAATGTAGTCAAAGACAATTCAATTGATAGTTATGTATTTTAAAATATTTTAAATGATGCATTTTTGGTTATAACATTATTAATTACGCTCAACATTTCTATCAAGATTAATAGGAAGAGAAAAAAGTAATTCGTTTCTTCCTCATGACCAAGCACGATTCTATTCGACAATTTCCATCACTTTTTTTACCTCTCTATCATAATTTGTGATTGTATAATCGATCGCGCCGCCTATTCTGAGCCAAGTGATTTTTTTTCCCCGCAAGGTGGGCGACCAAATTTTGGAAGTGAACGGCCAGAGCTTCGAGGAAGCCACGCACGACGAAGCCGTGCAAATTCTGAAGACCAACAAGCGCATGAGCCTGATCATACGCGACGTTGGCAAAGTGCCTCACTCGTGTACAACGAGCCAACCGATGGTCGTGCCCATGTCGAGGTATCAGGATCACGACACTTCGATACTCGAGAGTCCGGGCAATCGTCGATCGCCTAGTCCATCGTAAGTCTATCAATTTTTTTCCCTATATATATAATACCAATTGAGTCAATCGTATTTTTACATTTCTTTTTTATCTTTTTTGCTTCTCGATTCGTCGCAGTAATAGCTTGAGCGATTGGAGGCACCGAGGCGTACAACCGATCTCGGCTGCGACGGCCGCTATGGTCGAGGAGAAGGCGCGCATCGTGCTGGCGCGTAGCGAGAGGGCCGCACTCTCGCAGCTTCTCGCCGACTACAGGTCCCGCCGACTGAACGTCGAGGATCTCGTGGTGAGCCTCGGCGACCTCCTCAACACGCACGAGAAGCTCACGCTGCTCACGGAGCTGCGCGAGCTCGTCGACTTGAAGGACAGGCCGATCTTCGACGATCTCGTCTACAGGCCCAGGCTCTCGAGGGTAAGCCTCTCACTATGCACAATAACGACTAACTATCTCGCGTTGATTTATAAATAATGCGCACCAATTTGTGTAATTGCTCGAACATATATATACGCTCGATTAGTTTTTTTACGTATGTAACTACTAGTGTAAGCTAATCTACCTAGTTTGTTGTTGTTTGTTTTTTTTCTCTCTCTTCGTGTGCTCTATCGCGGGGTGAGAAAAATTTGTGCACTAGAAAACTTGGACCGTAATGTAAATTCTAGATCACTCCGCTACACGAAGAGAGAGCTCTTTCGATTTAGAAACTTTGAAATTCACGAAAACATATTGCCGCGCGCTGCGGGTAAGTTGCTGCCGCTCGATATATATATAACGAGATCCTAAATAAAGATAGAGCCCAAACTTTGAAGGTGCAAATATTTAGGCGACTAAAAGTTTCAATATTCTCGCCGGGAACTCGGATGCACTTCTCGGAACTTTTGATAAAACTACTTCGACCATCTCTCTATGTCTCTTCCTGTGCGTTATCGAAGAGGGGGAAAGAAAAAAAAACGAAACATGAAAACATTGACTTACACGAACTACTTCTCTCCTTGGAGAAAAATCAATATCTTTACTGGATGAATCCTTTTATTGCTACAGAGAAAAGGTGACAGAGTACATAACTCAGACTTGATAGTGGCGCCGTCGATGCACGAGCTTCCGGTAAGTTTTCTCTCAACATCGAGGGACTATATACTCTATATAACGTCACTTTCTAAACTTCACATTTATCAATACGCAAATCTTTGGGCCGATGCATTTTTTTTTTCACGGACAACTTTTTTATGACTCGGTGCGACTGTCCTGTTTTTATTTTTCATATTATACTTGTTGGAGCATTTGATATTATATGTTTTTGTGGCGAGTTTTTTATTGACCAACACGAGTATTGAACGATGTGATTTATTGTTTCTGTTTATTATATGTTTTTGATTCGTAAAATTGAAAGCACTGAACTATGTCATTTTTTGGCAATAATTAAATTATGAAATTATGAACTTTCTTATTTCTATATTTTTTATTTTATCAAATCGTTTCATGTAATACTTCTATGGATTACGTATCTGACTATCTTCAACAATTTGATCTCAGAATATATGATTTTGCCTACCCAATATTATTCAATCTTTATTAATCATTTCCAGATTTATATTCTAAATCATCTAAGTTTCAATCAATCAACAATCACTTTCTTCATCACACTTGAACTCATTATTTTGAAAATAAATGTTACACCTAGATCGTTGTCGTTGGAGAGTGTGGAAAAACTATCGATAATAATGTTTTATTGAGTTGACCCTTAACAACATCCTTCCACGTGAAATGGGAATTTATTTTCCATAGAAAACAACAATTTTTTGAAGTTTAAATGGATCTTGAGATAGATCTGTTTTCTTGGCCCGTAAACTAGCACACACTGTGTACGTCATTCACAACTTTTACAAATGCACTATTTTCTCGTATGTATTTTTTTGTTATTCCAAACAATAATATTTTAATTTTATTAGATAGTGATAAATCTAAAACTTTCGCTTCATTGCGGTTTAAACAACATTCAAAATAATTTAAAAAAGTTAGTCTCGAAATAATATCAAATTGTGGTAAATCAAAGTAGGATAATTAACTCAAGCTTCAATTGAATTGTACATATTTAGACTTGAAACTTTTTAACGAGTAGTATAAACTTTGACGTGTTTTAATTCTTAAAAAATGCATATGTAGATAGCAGTATAATAATTCGTAGTTTCATTTATCAACTACAAATTTTCTGCTTTTTACAGATCAATTTGTACTTTTTATGTGTTCGTAATACACAACGTAACTTCATGGAATGAATTCGTATATCGTGTGCGTGTGTGTGTATTTGTGCGTTTGTATGTTTATATGAAGTAAACGTTTGTCCTGTAAGCATCAAAATATTTGTCAACAGCTCCTTTAGTGTTCATATAAGTATTCTCAAGCTTCTCTGTAAAGTAATGTTTACCTTTTCTATTTAATATGGCGCAATTGTGTACACTAGCTCGTTTGTTGCATTGATATAATATATAGGAATAAGAGCGACTGTGGTTCGGGTCAAGTAATTAAACGATAACAATTGATACCAAATGATTGCGAACAGATTAATTTTTGGAGAAAACACAAAAAAATTGTTATCCAAATTATTTCGGTCTCTCTTTTTTTGTGTCGCTGTGAATGAAACAGTATAACAAATAAAAAAATACGCATTTGTGGTTTTGATAAATTGTCGCAGAGAGTCGTGACTGGTTCTTGTTACCGACCAGGCCGAGGATCGGACGTCGAAGGAGATCCTTTTGCCGTGACGGGACCACTTCTGCTCCGAGAAAACCAGGAATATCGCTCACCAAGCGAGGACAGCGGCCTTGGACCCGAAATGACCAGGACCAGGTCGACTTTCTCTTTTACTTTTCCGACTCTTTTCTTCTCTCTCTTTCTCTCTACTATCTCTCACTCTCTTTCTCTCTTCTATAAACTCTGAATCCACTTTAATCTCTCGCTCTACATTAATTTTGTCCCATAAAAGAATTATACAAAGACGCTCTGTATACACACGTACAAACGAGAAACTTCGGGTCTTTTGTTCGATCGAGTGAACGTGGAAAATTTCGTCGTAACTTTATCAGATCTGAAAAACCTAAAACGTGACATCTCCGTGTAAAATATCCCGTATAACCGACGATGATGTGTCGATTTTCATCGTACAGCGAGAGGAAAACGGCTTTAAAAGTTCACACAGAAAAAAGAGAGGGAGGGCGGGGGTGGTAAAAAAAAATATTTGCACTGCCCGTCCCTGCACTGAAGTTGATTCAATCTAACGAGGTCTCTCTCTCTCTTTCTCTCTGCCATTCACCCTTTGTCTCCCTTGTTTCCTTCCATTCTTGGGAAAACTGCTTGGAGAAAAAAAAAGTTGACTCGCCGCACGCGAAACGACTATTCGCGCGCTAGGAGTTCTTTTGTCGCACGGGGGACATTGTCGTACTAGCTCTCTCTTTTTCTCTCTCTCTCTCTTTCACTCTTTCTCTTCGTTAATATAAGTAGAGGAGGTATATAAGCCCAGGAGCGCTAAGCCGAACGTCGTAAAAATGTTAATTTTGCAAATGAAATCATTAGCATGCTCAGACTCGATGTTTAATAATTCCTCCGGCCGGCTGCGATCATTTGTATGCGCGCGGCATTTCGAGCACCACCTTTTTTTTATTTTTTTTTTGTTACTCAAAGATCCGCTTTTTTTTAACGAACAACAGCGGCCGAAAAAAATTAACCTCGCGTTTCAAAACAGGCTCTTTTCATTAGAATTCATAAGAATTTGAAAGGAAAATTCTAATAAAAAACAACAGATGAGACGTATTTGTAACTTTTTCCATTGGGCCAATTCTATTTAGGCAATTAGCCTGGAAAAATGTAATACGATGGCTAAAATGTATGCGTCAGTGTGCATGACCGTAATTCTCGGCCAAGAGTGCCCAAAGCGAGAAAAGAAGAAGAATTCAAAGAAAGAAGTGTCATTAGGTAATGGTGTTGTTAAGAGTCGTCCGTGGCCGTATGAAAATTCATTAAAACATTCGAGTCGATTTTTGGCCACGTGCCACGCACCTTTTCTAGCCTCGAGCATATACTTTTTGCACACGTATATAAGATCGCGCTCGTATTACGAGCGGGACAGAAGTCCAATATTGTTCGTACGTGCTATCTAGTGGGAACTGATGTAGGCCCTCCTCTCTCTCTCTATCCATCGATGCGCGCGAGTAAATTATTCCGCGGTCAACGAGACTCCGATACATGCGGGCGTTTAACCGAACGAAAAATCAACGGTAAACTTTGCTTCGGATCATACGGAACGCGAAACTTTTCGGTCAAAGCCTCGAATCGTTTTATTTTTCTTTCGCGTTCGACGAGGTCATAATGGCCATAATGAAAAGTTTTTAAAGCCGCTATGCTTCGTAAATTCATCGCGAAAATTTCGTCCGAAACACATTAGTACCTACTTTTACTCCAACCACCACTACTAATTCCTTTTCTTATTTCGTTTCTGTTTAATCTGCCGCGAACGAATGAAAATTATTCACGAGTAATTTTCAGAAACTGTACTGCAATGAGTTTGATCTAAAACATTTTTTATTTTTGTTAATTGGGTCATTCCAGAGGGTCTTACAGACGAGCTCATCACTATCAGGTAGTCGCATCCGACTTCGCACTCTCCAACGACGACGAATTCGATAGTCAGGTACCGAAATCCAAGGGTTCCATTAATCATTGAATCATATACCTTACCTCGAGTCTTTTTGTGTACAATTTTTTTTTTCATTCGCTATCTATCTCTTTCTGACGTTATATCATAATCATATTTTGTAAGATGCAATGCAATTTGTGTAGCTGCTACAAACTACTCAGAGAAACATTTTTCTCACGATTTCATTTAGGATTACGTGGACGAGGACTTGGACTGTGATAGAGGTGGCCGACGGCACAGCTCGCCAGGTGGACGCAGAAACTATCAACATCATCATTTACTGGCCGACAATTTGGTGAGTTTCTCGAGAAAGCTTTTTTTCTTCTTGCTCTCCATTTTCCTCTAAGCTAGACGAAAAAAAAATAATGAAGATAAATATATTTTTCGCCCATTATTTAAACTATATATGAGAGTAAGTTATTACTGTAAGAGAGAGCTTAGATCATTATTTTTATTAAAATAAAATTCACATATATATATTTTTTAACCTCGACTAAATGTGAATCTTAGCACTTCGTTATTGTCGTCATTGTCGGCAGTAAAGTTCTAGTTGAAGTTAGCTTCATTATAAAAATATCTATAGATCTTAGACTCGATTCTTTGAAATGTACAAATGACATTGTAATTTATAGTATTATCATCGTGAAATAGAAGGTAAATATGGGTTAGTCAGTACACGTAGTATTACTTAGTTATTGGATATTAGTCATAGGTTTAATTAAAAACTATAGTGATCAGATCAATTATATAGTTATACGTTTCAAGTTCGATCCTATACAATATTTTTTAATCATTAGAATATTCAAATCGCGCAGAACATTTGTTTTTAATTGGATCTTGTATTGCAAGAAAAAAAACAATCGACTAACACCTTTTTAAATCTCGATCGGGTTCCAGCCCTTGTACTTTTATGCTTCTAACGATGTTTTTTCCGACTCGATAAAAAAGCGTATGTATACCCAGGACACATGCTTTGGTAATTCGCGACTTAATCAACTGTTATTATCGACTGCAAGTATTAATTGGAACTTTGCTTAAGCGCGAGCAAAAAAAATGTGAGAGGCTAAGAGGGAAAAAAAAAAGAAGTGTAAACAAACAAAGCAACGCCAGAGAGCTTGTAATAGCGAAAGCGACAGAGCTCTAAACGCCGGGCGATTGCTTTTCTTGAAAGTATTTTCCGTTTGTTCCTTCGCTCCAGTCCGGGGACTGGCTCCGCTCGCGCTACGGCGCCCGTCTCGAGTCTCGAGGGCGGAAATTTAATACTCCGAGAATTTTTCTCGCTCCGCAGCGGCTGCTCGGAGTGATTTTGCCGCGTGTCAAATTAATCTCTCCTTTGTAAAACGTCTCTAGGATTATTTATACTTTCCTGCGACGCGCCGTTGTAAACGCTGCTGCCTCCATTGATCGATCTCCTCGAGAAACAAAGCCCCGACTCGCGCTTGCAAAGACCGAAAGAAAAAATAAGATTGTTATTTACGATTCTTGGGGAAAAAAATTCACGGGAAAACTTGGCCATTATACGTTCGCGAAAAGTTGCGTGTATACTTCGTGTATTTGTAAACTCGCGCGCGCCGCGTTGAAGTTATTACTGCATTAAATTTCATGCACGCGTGTACTACACAACGTCGGGGTATTTACGTTCGCGAGCGGAAAAAAGAAAAGCAAAAAAAAAAAAATTAAACGAAGAGATGCGCGCTTGGAAATCACTCGTATAATACGTAAGGATGAAAAGTATGAAGCCTTCACGAAGACGGGCAAGAGCTAATTAAACGATAAATCCTCGAGCAACCATAATATCGCGATCTGCTTATTTACGGACGTTTGTACGGCTTATTATCTGTCTTTTGTATACGAACCGGTGTGACATGACATGATTAATTTCCCTTCAGGGAAGGGAAAGAGGAAAAAAAAAATTAAAACTCGCGCGCGAGAGAAACCCGAGTATTACACGAATGACAGCTTCCATAAGCTCAAAAAAAAAAAGAAAAAAAAATACAATCCAGTGCGTCTCCGGTCAAAAGGCGATGATCGTGTGGCAGACTACGACGACGACGACGATGACAATGACTACGATGCATTGTCTAGGCTCCCCCGCACCGACAACTAGAGACTATTATAAAAACGTTCAATTTACACCGTGCACCGCAGAAAAGGGCACACATTATATACGCCGCGGCGAGAGAGAGAGAGAGAGAGAGAGAGAGAGTCCAGAACTGCCTCGCGGCGACCCGATGTTGCGTGCTAATTAGCGCGCAGTTGGCATGCGAGTAGTAGTAGTAGTTGTAAAACTGCTCTGCGCGCTGGGGTGGATCGATATAGCTCATTCTAGTACAGTAAGTATACGTGACCTCTGCGGCGGCGCGCGGCTGTAATTGTAATAACGCGCCATTACAATGCAAAATCATCGTGAGACCTCGCGAGTCGTAAGAACTTCGTTGTTGCCCTCGCGCCGCCGTTCGAAGATCGTTTACTTATTTACACGAAGCTCAATTTCCGGGCCGATAATTACCCTTTGACATGGCCGCGAAGAAAATTTATAGTTCGAAATTTGGAGCGCAGCACAGCTTCTCGACGTCAAAATTTACAGAAGCTCTCGAAACTTGCCTCGAAACATAGTATATCGGCATCTTCGGGCTGCTGCTGCTGCTGCAACTTTCTTTTTCTTAATTGTTGCCGGAGCTTACACGCGAAAGCTCGGCAAACAAGCCACTACACCGCGAGCTTGTAAGAAGACGCAAGACACGACGAGCTTTGTTCGGTAGGAACGTTAAATTATTGATCTTGTATTCAACTTCGAGAGAGAGAGAGAGAGAGTCGAAATTGCACAAACAATCCTTCGGCGCTTCGACGGCAAGCTTCTCTCGGCGTGTAAATGGGGGAAATTTGCTGAACATAAATAAGAGGATCGACGTAAGATTTCTCGATTGAGTTTATTTTGACAAGCAAATGGTTTATAATATGCTATGCTTTGTATTCGCTGAGTAACGTGATATTTTTTTTTTATTATATCGGACCTCATTCAATATGCAAATACGGCTTTGTGCGATGAAGCAGCAATGAGTGAATGAACAAAAAAAATTAATAAAAATTAAAAATAATATTTACAAAATGTCGTAAAAGTATACCTTATAATAATCCGTTGTAACAGTTTTTCAATTCATTAATGTAAGTTCATTATTATATGATTACACATAAAAATGTTAATGAAAAAGTTGAAGAGCGATACAATGTTCGTGGTACAATTCATTTTTTTGTTTGTTATTATTATTATCTTATGACGATTATAAATCAGATTCATAATGCAATTTTCAGAATTTCCGAAAATAAATCGAGTTTAATGATTCAATACACCTCGATGAAGGTGAGCTTTTTTTATGCATAAACAAAAATAAAATTATAACGATCGATTACACGTACATGACTGATATTGGTTCACACATTTTTTTTTCATTTCAATTCGTGTACTCGAATGAAAAAGTACGTAAAATTATCTTAAAGTTAAAGGAATGATGTGGCATTCGTTGCTCAGCTATCTTGCGGAGCGCGACGTATACTCGAATGCAGCTCGATATTTTTTTTTTTAGCGAGGTGTCAATATTAGGGATATTACATGTCATTCGTAATGAATATATCGATAATCCAATGTCTCAGGGATGCTGATGGTCGATGATTGGGGAGGTGGTGAGGATCAGAGCTTGTCCTGGAGCGCCTGTCGCAGCTCCTCGGTGGCTTTGGCCACCTCTTGCGAGGCCTGCCTCACTTCCGGCCTGTTGTGCGGCGCCGCGCTCGAGTTCGAGCGGCGCACCGAGTTGCCGCTGCCGAATTTCGGCCGTGGAATTCTCACGCGCTGTACGTCGCTCAGCCAAGACTCCATGTTTGCGCGATCGCCTTTACTTGTTATTTCCTTCCTTTCTTATTCCTCCTGCCGTATCCTGCGAAAAGAAAAGAAAACAGTGTTTTTATTCGAGTTAATGAGACTTGGATTCGATATGTATATAGGAAATTTTTTTTCGCCTAGATGACTTTCGATTATTGAAACAATAAAAGGCATGTTACGTGTACACGGAGACATTCTGAACGCGGGCCTTTGTCGAAAAATAATCTCCGCGAGGAAAAAATATTCAACCGTTGCCGTGTCAACGCTCGTTATAAAAGCAGCCAAAAAAAAAAAAAAAAAAAAAAACAAAAAAAAAAAGGAAAAAAAGANAAAAAAAAAAAAAAAAAGAAGAAAGAAAAAATAGGAAGGCGGGCCGGTACGCTCCATAGTGCTCTACATAGAATATACGTGCAGAAGTTTCGCAAGTTTGGTAGATCTTTTGCTTCCTAATATAAAAAGATATCGTCGAAAGTTTCTCCTCTCTCTCCGCTCCCCACCTGTCGAGGGGGGGCCGCGCGCGGGCCGAAAGAGTTATAAAACAAGAGAGAACGTGGTACATGCGCCACAATTTCGCCTATGTAATATACATATAAAGGTGCATATACAATATACATACTCGCTCTCTGTGTTCACGTGCGTTATATTTATATAGGACTTGGAGTAGGTATAGGAAGCCTACAGTAGACACTATCTCTCTGTCTCTGCCTCGTTGGCTTGTGTCGGGCGTGTGCAGAGCGTGTATATATATGTACGCGCGTCGGATCGATTTGCATAGTGTCAGTGTCTAGCCAGCGCAGGAAGTCACTGGGCCATTGGACTACATGCACATACGCGATCATAACGCCTCACCCTATGTATATGTGTGCGTATTATACTATACTGCATAAAGCAAACAAGCCGCGTGTGCGCTCGAGAGTTGTATAATTATTATTATTATTATTATTATTATTATTATTATTATACGTTTCAATCATCGAGAGCACGATGGTATCGATGCGACAAAAGCATCTGCTGCTCGCACGATTTCTATAACTATGATAAAAGTGCTGAACCTTGATAATGGATTCATGATAAAAAATGACATTTCAACATTAGTTAAAATATATTACAATTCGTTAGCTTGTTTATAGTGATTTTTTTGTTAAATGAATTAAAAACGATAATTTAGCTGTTTGTTAACATTTAAACCAGCTTTCAACCATTCTTATACGATATTACTAGTTTAAGTCTCCGCCACTAGATGGCGAGTACCTTTACTCGTAAATCTGCAAGTGGCAAAGTCAAAATAATTAAATAAGTCAGCAACGTTGAAACTTAACAATCGCTTAACTGTCGATGTACATTGACCTTTACAGGTACATTGTTAAATGATTTTTTTTATCGACACTTGTATACTTACAAAAATCATATTTAGTGGTATACGAATAGGTTTTCACCGGCAAAGGACAGAGTTATCGTATCGAAACGTCGTTAAACGAATAATACCTGGTTCATCATACATCGAAGTAATTCCTTTCTAGCTGTATGTATTCACTAATAACCTTTGTATATTCAAGGAAATTTTCCGTTGTCAAAAAACTAGCCATCGAATGTTGAGCATTGCTACCAGCGAAGACAAACTAACTGATGTAGTGGCTCATTCTGCGTACGTTTTTCGTCGTCGGTATAGAGGCTTATCCGCGCGGGTATAAAAGCACCTCCGATCCTAGCTGCTCACGCAGTTGAATTACGCCGGAGTTGATTAACGGAGTCACACGTATAGAGGATTGAAAGCTCGGGACATTTTTCCAGGCGCCAGTAAACTATGGACTCCGCCTCGCTCCGGTCTGTGCAAATGCAATTGACACCGCTCGCGCGACTCGTCTCGCTTCCAGTCTCGCAGCTGCTGTTGCCCGATGAATATATACATAGGAGAAGTTGAAAAATTGAATGATCGAGTTATAGGTCAGTTCTCCTGCAGTAGTGTATCTGCAGCTAGGGAGTTAGTAGTAGCAGCTAGTAGGAAAGAGACCGGAAAAAAGCTCGAATCGACGCTCTTTAAATCGAGGCGCCGCCGTTGTGTGTGTGTACCTATCTATCTAATCTATGACGACTCTCTGCCATTATATCTGCTTAAAAGAATCAGACAGACGTACACTTTGCGCGGTGCATGCAGTTGCCTATATAGGCCTTTTGTGCAGCACACGGCAGTATAATTACAGGCGCCGTGGATCATGAACGCACCGGGATTTATAGCTTTATTATATATTTGCAGGTGCATCTATATATCTATATAGAGAGGCTTGGCATCGATCTCGACAGTTCGGCAAGCAGCTAACTCGAGTTCTCTGGTACTTTTTTGATTTTTTTTTTTAGACATCGAGAGAGCCCGTGTGTTAAACGTATTGAAATATATGCTGTATGAGGCCGCGCGCGCATATCTGCGCGCGAGCAGTCGTTCGTTCGGATGGATTATTATTCGGACTCGTTCGAGCGAAATTTCGATACGTACATACATACACGCGGTTGGACTGCCAACTGTACGTGTATAATGCGCACGTGTTATCGAGGCATTAGAAATGCCTCGAGAGTTAATCGCGGCGCCGATTATATACAGTTTTCGCAAGCGGCAGGCAGCTCTCGGGGCGCACTACTGGCGACAAGTGCAGATGCGCGCGCGCCCGATCAAATTCACGGAGCTGTAACCAGCAGATGCAGAACGACGAACCGCATTAGAGACAAAGCGACAACAAAGCGTATGCTCTATAGGTAGAAATCCAAGCGCGAATATCGCATGGTAACGAGTACTCCTCGGCGCGTACGTATACGTGTGCCTGAAATATATATTATGCTGCTGCTGCTGCTGCTCGGTGCTAAGCGTGTATTTGTATGTGCATTTAGCTAACTTACATCGAGCGCAATTGCCAACGAACAGCGTGTCGGTTGTACGCCATGTATATATCGCGAGAGAGAGCGACTGTGTTATATATTTAACATCAGCTCTCATTTGTATCCGCGACTGTAGATTTGCACTGTACAATATGCACGTCTGACATGATACAGCTCTCTCTCTCGCGAAAACTAACTCGTGTTCGGGATGTCTGCGCTGTAGGTATACCTACGTACTTTCGACGTTTCCTTAACGCACCTAATTCGAACGCTACACGTGCATTATGTACACGTACTATACCTGTACTGGCAGTTCATATAGCGTACAACATAATGCGCGCGATTTAAGCTCTCCATTATGTTACGTGCGTTTATATACTCGCGTGGATAATACATTTTTTTTATAATGTTGTACATTATAAATGTACCCATTGAAATTGACTAAACAGGCGCGAATATCGCACGCAGGCGAGTAGCTGTATAGTAGTAGAAACCCGACTTTCCGTTCTTTCTCTCTCTCCGCACGCAGAAAAACCGCCACTACGTGTGTAGCGTGTATGCATTACATATAAACGCCTATAGACTTTCCGCACTCTCCGTGAATTTATACGTGAAAAATATAAGAAGTGGGAGAGGGAAGAGAGAGAGAGAGAGAGAGAGAAAAAATTGAGAGGAGCACTTTCTAATAACGCCGCAGATATCCTTTCGCGATTTTTACTTTTACGTATGTGTAGTGCTCGACACTATTGGGCATGTATAAGTGTCGATTATTATCGCTGATTTATTACAAAGTTCGTTAAACGAACGGATTGTTATAAAATTACGAACTAAATTTTGTCGAAAAAAACGCCACAAAAAAGAGCAGTATGCGGGAGGCGACGATCCTGCACAACTATAATAATCTCCATCCCCCTTGCAACGCGTTGAGAAAAGACACTGGACGCTACTGGCATATACAGCGGGAAGGCGTATACGCTCGCGCGACAACAACGAGTTTCGGGATCCAATTAACGCGTTTGCATTATATGTAGTAGTGGTAGTACGAAGTAGTGTACGCGCGGAGCAGTGCAGCGCTCATTACAGCGGTGAAACAACTTGTCTCCGCGGGCGCCGTAAGTGAGGGCCCGGGAGAAGCCTTTGTGTCTGGCAATAAAAAAAAAACTTGGAGGGGGTACGAGCTTGTCTCGTGTTATATTTACAGTCCTGTTTCGTATGTACACATCGGGCGCGAAAAGAGGCAAGAGGTCCACACGGCGCAGCAGAGTTTATATAAATCGTGCGTTATCGTAGGTAGTATATACGCTACGGCGTCATAGCCAATTAAGGCGCGGGGACCCGTCGTGGTAGAATATTGCGTATGTAGGGTGAATTTTTTTGTCACTCCTGATTCCTATTTTACGTGTGGATCGATAATGAGCATAATTGAGTAAATAGAGAATTTGAATTTCGATGATGTTATAACGTTGTAATATGGTAACACGAAACGAGAGACTTGGTTTTGAAAATGTACCAACTTGACTATTAATTTATTAACAGGAATATTTTTGGATTTATTATGTGAAGCATATTTTTTTCAATAATCTTTGTCATTAGATGGTCTATCGTATAATTTTATTTTATCTAAGAAAACGCAAACAAATATTTATGTAAGTGCAATACACATTGTAACAGAGTAGAAAATAGTATACCAATGAGACTCTAGATGGCGAGCAAGCTGAAAATATTTTTCACGCAGTACAATTAGAAGTGTTGAGTTATTTAAGTCGTTTTAATCAACGATCGAAGGTTTCCTAGAAATTCTATTATTTTTGGTTACGATTCGCGAAAAAATGAAAAGAACTCAAACTTCTAACGCCGTCTCGTTAATAATATACGCACACATACCGACGAGCGGTTTCGCGTCCACGCGGTAGTACCGTAAATGCACTTCTTCTCTCTGCCTCTATATATATATGCACGAGTTTATACATGATACAGACCACATGGAGCTTGTGTGTGGCACAGCCGCGGTTAAAAGACACTCTAGTCCGCGCGTTATATACATTATAAAAGTATATGCTTCCGAGAAGCCGTATAGAGCTGCGCGCGGTGCACTCGTGTGCGGACTAAAAGGACGGCTAATGCACGCGCGCGGCTAAAATCCTTAGAGGCAGCTGTTGTGCAGTGCGCCGTGTAGTGCAGCAAGAT